AAGACAGCAGGCAGGAAGCTCAGAGCATTAGGAAACCATTTTCTCCAGCTAAACTTTTAGCATTTTACAGATTTTGCTGTATTGACTTTTCTTGTCACCCCCTATTTTTGACAGGGGTTGTTATTTTTTAAAGATTTATGGCAGGTGACACTGACTTTTCATTTGCAGTGAGACAGAAAGTTTTCTTTAGAAAAAGTTTCCTCTATAAAATCTATTTAAGTAAAAATAAAATTGGTGTGGATGAGAGATGAGTTGTGAATATTGTGCACTCTGTGAAGGTGGGAAGTGAATGAATGAAGTTTCAGAAGGCTATTTCCACCATTGTAGGAAGGGCCCAGGGATTCCGAGTAACTAAGACTTGACTGTTTAAAAATTTTTTTATTTTTATTTTATTATTTTGTGTATGTGTACCGTCAAATCAGATCTGACTGGTACAGGAGGAGATTGCCTCTCCTTCTCCAGCAGAGCATCTGGTGGATTTGAACCTCATACCTTTGGGATTGCAGTGCAGCTTCTTGCCACTAGTCCACCAGAGCTCCCAAGACTTGACTTTTAACTAAGTTCTGCCTTTTTTAGGATGGACTCTGTTTTTCCCATCCATAAAGTAAATTTTAGGGAGCTCTGGTCGCCTAGGGTAAGAAGCTGAGCTGCAATTACAGTTGGAAGGCCCCAGATGCTCCCTGGGAAGATGGGCAATCTCTTCCCACGTGATTGACTGCCTTTGAGAACCCACCAGAGGATCAGCTATGAGTCAGGTCCGACTCTACGATACACAACAACAACAACAAAATAAACTTGGATATATTTTTTAAAATACAAGCTATATTAAAAAAGACCAGCAAGCACATGATAAACAGGTGTCAGAGGAGTTTTCAGGCCAAACAGACCAGGAGGAAAGGCCTGGTGATCAGCTTCTGAAAGCTCTATGGGTCACAACAGGACATTGTCTGATACAGGATTGGAAGATACTAAAAATACACAGTGTCCACAGCAAAGGGCTTGAGTGGACCCACAGAGATGGCGACAGCAAAGGGACAGGCAGAGGTTTGCCTTGGTCAAGAGGTCTGTCATGACTCTGTGCTCAATTGACAGCAACCAACTTCAACATCATACTTCGTGGTGAAAGCTTCACCTTAAGACTAAGAACAAGATTGACATGTCTGCTCTCCCCACAGAATTCTCCTCGACATGGTGATGAAAATCCTGAACCGGAACAGGCCAGAACAATGAAATGAAAGGAGACCATATTTGCAGGGGGGCCACAGCAATGGGTGTAGGAGCCTGGGGAGATTGTGAGCATGGTGCAGGATTTCATTCTGTTGTCTGCCAGTGTGCTTCCGAGTCAGTGCAATGGCACCCAATAATAACAACAGGTTGTAAAAGAAGAAGTGAACATGTTTGTGTTTGTACACGGCACCAGTGTGTAAATAAATAAATAAAAATCCTCAGGAACTCATTAAAAGATTATTAGAACTAGTTTAAAAAAAAGTCAAGCAAGATTGTAGACTACAAGATCAATACACAGCAATCAATTGTAATTCTACCCAGTCCCAGGGAACACACACACACAAATGAATCTAAGACAATTCCACTTATGAGAAATAAAAAAGAGGAAAATGCAGCAGACATAAATTTACCAAGAGAATGAAAGGTTTACAATCTGAAAGCAACAAAACATCACTGAAAGAAATTAGTGATGACCTAAACCAATGGACAGGTATCCCATGTTCATGGATGGAGTATGTAATATTCTTATTTAAAAATTTTTTTTCTTTTATTATTTTGTGTGTGTGTACCATTAAATCAGATCTGACTGGTACAGGAGGAGATTGTCCCTCCTTCTCCAGCAAAGTATCTTGTGGATTTGAACCATGTACCTCTGGGATTGCAGTAGAGCTTCTTGCCACTAGGCCACCGAGCTCCCTGTAATATACTTAAGATGATGTCTCCATCAACAAACAAATGGATAGAGAAGCTCTAGTATATTCACACAATGGAATACTATGCAGCATTGAAATACAAGGAACTCATGAAATATTATGCAAAATGG